CCCTGAGCCGGTGAGATTTGAACCGCTGACCTGCTGATCTAGCAGTAGCCTGCAGTGCTGCATTTAACCACTGCGCCACCTTGGCTCTTACCCAAAATGTCTGGCCATGCCCACTTGCCAGGATTCCCACTGCTTCCTCTATCATAGTCATGTGAAGTCCTCACAATGGTTCAAAATTCCCTGATTATGATGGCAACCAGGGTTGTCATTGCTAAACCATCCCGATCCCAATTACTATTGCAACCTTAGGACTTACTGGTAATTACACTCCTATAGTGTTTTGACAATATTAGGTATCTTTTTTTAACAGTAAAACATTTTTGAGATAAGTTCAACTTCAGTTCAAGGGTTTAAACGTTGACACGGTGACTATTGGATAATCTTTCTTTTAAAAAATTGAATTTAGAACAGATCTCTGCCGATGTTACAACTCTTAATCAATTTTGTGTTTCAGGAACCCATATAACCTTAGTGTCTCACTCAAGATCTGTTAGCCACTGTCTCGAAGCAGCTGCTGTCCTTGCCAAAGATGGAGTGGAATGCGAGGTACACATTATTTTGTTTGGATACAATTCACGAAAAAGATATGTTCGAAACTTGTTTCTTGCCTTTAAAGTATGTTAAGAGTTCTGCTGGTTCCTTGGCTGCATCTATCTCCCCAAGCAACCGCGGCAGCCTTAGAAACCAGCTTTGATGAAAATCTCAGTTACCCATCATTCATATTTGCAGGTAACATATTAACAACTAGCCAAAGTAGATACTTGGAAGGAGAACAGTTATCTACCATGGCTGAATAATTTCCAAGATTTTCCAAAGTAAAAAAAAACAAACGATCTTCAGTAGTACACAAGTGTGGAACAGTATCATTCTGTGAATTTTCTCTATTTACTGAGTAAAAGTTACAATCTCAATTTATTTTCCAGACTACAATGGAACTGACAACTGGTCAATTTCTCAAATCTTTCTCATAGGTTATAAACCTTCGGAGTATTCGACCATTGGATATTGAAACCATTGAAACTAGCATCATGAAGACCAATAATCTTGTTACAGTAGAAGGTGGCTGGCCCCAGTTTGGGGTGGGAGCTGAAATCTGTGCCAGAGTTATGGAAGGTATTTGAAGCATCATACTATTGTGGTTGTTCTTAACATCAGGACACTGGTGTTCTCTTTGCAACTTCCAATGAAAGTTCAGTTGCCCTCATCCTTCATTAGAGTGAGTTTCTCTTTAGACTGCAAAGGCCATCCAGAGTGCAGTCTTTCAATGAAGGTCTAATGGTTAAGCACCATGCCAGGACTTGGGAGACTGAGTTCTGCCCAATTCACATCACAGGGTCGTTGTTGTGGGGAAAATAGGAGGAAGAAGAAGTATTAGGTATTTTGCTATAAAAATAATGAGATAAATTAAAATCTAAATGGATAATAGAACCTTCAAACTTACAAACCCCTACTTGACATATCCTCAACCTAAATAAAATATGACTTTAGGTTTTTTTTTCATGAACTATGCTAGTGACCCACAGTACCTCTTTCTAGCCTCTTGCTTCCCGAGAGGAATGATAAGTTAAATTTGGGGATACAGATTCTTGGTTCTATAAACTTTCACAAGCAGTTTCTTAGACATACCAGGCCAGCTTAAACTCGGAGGATGAATTTCAACCCATTCTTCTGATTTCAGGTCCTGCTTTCAACAATCTGGATGCACCCGTGGTTCGTGTCACAGGTGCCGATGTGCCAATGCCTTATGCAAAGGTCTTAGAGGAAAATTGCATACCTCAAGTAAAGGACATAATATTTGCTGTGAAAAAGACGCTCAATATCTAGATCTTGTGTGAAAATTTCGTTCGAGAATTTATCTTTTAAAAAAATATTATTTATGGAGCATACTGCAAGCCACTGTATCCAGAGCTGCACCTTATATTGCACGTGGATTGGAATAAGGCATTACAAAAGGAATAATAGAAACCATGTTTGATACAGACCATGTTGTCTCTCTCTCGCTCTCTCTCAAGAAGTCAATGCAAAGGGAGATGAATTATTAGGAACTTTCATTATATGGTAAAATGTCTTGTTATTGCCTACAAGATCAGGTTTGCTCTGATGAGCAGCCTATTATATCAAGAGTCAGCTTGTGATTATTTTGTAACTTACGTAGCTTGTAATAAAGATATTAACTAAATTGTGTCGGTGTTGTATTTCTTACTTTCTCCGTTTATATCACAGAGAGCACAATCATGCCCCCTGCTATTCTTTCCTCTAAGACAGAGTTCCCGAACATTTCTGGCCTTGCGGGCCAGTCAGGAGAAGGAAGAGGGATTGGTTTTGCATGTGAGTGCAACTCCATTTGTGCAAGCAGAATGCACGTGCACCTGCCACTCATGCAATTGGCACGTGCATGCACGGATGTACATGCGCTCCCCCACTGCTCATGTAAGTGGGGATGCGTGTGCGCGCTTGCCCGTTTTCATGACCCAGTTGCAAACATGGCCCATAGGTTGGGGATCCCTGCTCTAAGCCACTGATGGTGAACCTTTGGGGCTGGCATGTCAAAAATTTGGAAAATATTTAACTTGACTTTTCAGGCATGTCACACACACCTCTCCAAACAAAAGAAAAACAATTTCTTCACCCCAATCTAGGCCAATCTGGAAAGTGGCACTTAGTGGCAGTGCCAAGGGTAGGCCTGTTTTTAAAGTAATTTTGGAGAATGCTCTTCCATGGCTATGCAGTTGCCCCAAACCACACAAACGCATCTATCCCATTCTCGTGAAATTTTCAGAGGCTGCACAAGAAAAAACCCCATTTCTGTGTGGCCTTCAAAAACCGCATAAGAATCTGAAAATTCACTTGCTGAGTATAGCAACCCGATATTCATTAAGCTAAGATGGGGAAAGATCTTGATTACAGCTAATGCATCTAAACTGATCTTCAGCTTAGAGCAGTGATGGTGAAACTATTGTGTGTCAAAGGTGACATGCCATTTTTTTGATGGCATGCTGGCATTCACCATACCCAACATCTATTCTTGATACCACGTCTCATTTTCAAGGCATTTATGCTTTACCATGTTTAGCAGTACTACTGAAAGATTAAGCAGATTTATTTTCTTCCAACATCAATGAAATTCTATTGACATTTTAATAAAAATATGAGTATATTTCAGACTACATCAACTCTTCTACACAATGACATTGTCTGCATAGGAACAAACACTGACACATACTTGACTTTAAAAATGGATTACTAATAATCCTTAAAGTGCAATTTAAGATTTTCAACAAATCAGAAAAATGACATTTTTTCACTAAAACATTAAACTTATGTAGGTTTTTTTTAAACACCCCAGCCCAATAATAAATCATACATTGAGGTTAAATTTGAATTAATGGAAACCCTGCATAGGTAAGTAGCTTGATATCCAATTTAATCTCAAGTCTAATGGCATAATTTAATGCCCTCTTTCTAAATTGAGTCGCATTGGGAGCTGTACTTCTAAACTTTGAATAATCCATGGATTACCTGCGTTTTGCAGGACAAAAAAAATATATCAGCATTGCCATATTTTCCAACATTGCTGAAGTAACTTAGTACAGTACAGCTAACATCAATGGGCCAGGGTTTATAATTCATCCTTTTTCAAAAAGCAAGCCTCAGAATTTAAATGGTCACTCTATCAGAAGAAATAATATCCATCCCAAGAAAGATTCCACCAAAAAGAAATCTCTACATGGGATCTTTTCACCCTTCAACACAAGCCAAAGACTCTGATCATAGTTATTCAATTATATTACTTTAGGGGGGGGGGGGAGTTTGAAATGACTAAACAGAGTGGCTAGGTCAAATGATTACAGGAAAGACTGGTTCTGAGGACAGAAATAGAAAATATATCCAATTTGATTTGTAAACAACTTCAGCTGATTCTGGGAGCACTGTGGTCATAGGTTTCTCTTTTCTTCAAAGCTGCTTTCTGGAAATTCTGAATGGAACTGAGTAAGGCGCTCCTGTTTGTGCTGTTCACAGGCTGCAGCTCAGGGGGAGTTGGCACATCCACGTTAGGAGGAGGACCAGGAGCTGGTGGTGGTGGTGGTGGTGGTGGTGGTGATGGAATTGTTGAGGCACCTGCTAGAAAGAGAAAGAGTGAGTTCAAGAGCTGAACTTGAAGGAAATGCTGCTGGCAAATGATGGATAACAGAAGCATGATCTGGAGAAGCTCAATACACACAAAAAAGAGAGGTAGGAAGTCACACATGGTAAAAATAAAAAAAAAATGGTTTAAAATGAATAACGGCATACTGCAGAAAAGTGCAAGTTTTTTTTTAAAAAAAATCAACATTCTGTACAACTATTAATGACCGGCAACCCTTAATATGGTGAAAGTTTTGTGAACTCTTTAGAACTATCCATAATCATGCAGTGGTATAATCTACACAATGTTGTCAAAAGCTTCATCTGAGGCCCATTAAGAGATAAGAGATTCTGGTTAAGTACTAACTCTACCCAGTCTTTGGTGGCATCTCTTTTAGCAGTAATGTTTCAATGCAAACATTTCTGTACCTGTTGATCAATCCATACATTTCTTGGAAGTATTTTAGTCTATTCCTTTTGTTTAAAAGCTTTTAACTAATTGATATTATTTGACTGTCATGCATGAATTATTCACTTCACTTGTCCTACATTTCAATTGAGTTCAGTTCAGTTTCTTTGACCATCCATTCATATATATGAATGGCTTCAGCCTTTCTACTGTAGATTTATTTATTTACGATAGGTGTCCTGTTGCCATGGCCCACATTTTTAAAAATCTTCAGTCACAGACAGGTATTCTGACATTCTGTAAAATTTGCTGCCACGATTCAGAATTCCTTACTCTCTCACTACTTGCACACCTTCTGACTGATCATACGTAGGTTACAATACTGTTTGATTATGGATCTCTATAAAGTGTTCATAAACTTTCATCACTGAAGGAAGAATTTCACACCTGATCCCATTATTAGTCAGAAAAGCTAAGCTATAAGATGGTACATTGTAGATATCAAGTTTTTAGGGTGCATCCCCTACTTTAATACCATTTGATAACAACTTGCAATTCAAATTCAGAATAAACTAACTTGATCTGTTTCCAATTTTAAGTAGATATTTGCGTAAGGCTAAGTATCTCAACTACTATTAACTGTATAACATTTGATTAATAAAAGCAGATCTTCCTGTATTAAAATTGGCAGGTTTTCCTCCATAAACCTATGAGTCAGTTCTTACAAAAATAATTATTAAATTAAATTAAATTGCCACCAATCTCACTATCAAGTTACTTTGGGCAGCTTCCAGTATCATAAAACCATGTTGTAAGGAAAAATATGAACATTATGTGAACACATTTGATTTACATTTGATTCAGGGCGGTGTTTCTCAACTTCAGCAACACAACTCTTTTAAGAATTCTGCAATCTAAAGTCCACACATCTTAAAGTTGTTCAAGTTGAGAAACACTAAGAGGATTTGTGAAGAACAAGGATTTATTCCAAAATATTTTTTATAGAAAACTGTTTCCAAGGTGTAACATGTTCAAACCCATGAATCTTTGTCTCAGTTTGGGAATATGAGACCAGCTAGGTAATTTTCAGAATGAACTTTAAAAAGCGGCTCCATTGCTCAGGAAAGAGATTATTCAAGTATAATATCAAAGCTTTAGGACTTTTCTTGAATTAAAGATGAACTGAATTATCTTCATGAGAAAATTAAAATATGTACAGTAAGTCTGTATTATTTATTAACAATAGAAATCTGGGGAGAAAATCTTCTATCAGTTACATTCTCCTGAACATGAGAATACAAAAATAATTAAGAGTGGACAGATCACCCAATTAACTAAAGGAGTTTCCTATAGATGGCACGCGTGCTGGAAGTGACACACAGAGCCATCTCTCCGGGCATCTGAGCTGTCGCCTGTTGCTCTTCCGGGTTCTGGTGCACCAGCCAGCTGGTCTTCATGTGTGCAGGAGCGCCGGAAACTGGGAGAGCAGCTGTTAGTGCGCTTGCGCACGCCTGGCGGCTGTTCTTCCTGTTTCCAGTGCAACCTGGTCTTCCAGCTTCTAGCACGTAAGCACGTATGAAGACCAGCTGGCTGGTATGCATGCATGAGCCGGAAACAGGAAGATCATTTTCCTGGCGTGCACATGTGCACCGGGCGGCTGCGCTTCTGGTTTCCTGTATGTGCGCACGAGCTCCCATTTCGGCACGGTGTCGAAAAGGTTTGCCAACACTGCTGTACATCCACTCTTTCTTAAAGTGGCTCTTTCTAAGGCATTATAATGGCAGGGTGAAGTAGTTAAGACACCAGGGCAGAAACCAGGAGAGTGTGAGTTCTAGTCCCACCTTTGACATGAAAGCCAGCTGGATAACTTGGGCCAATCCCCCTCCCTCTCTAAGGCCAAATATACCTCACAGGCTTGTTGGTGGTGGGAAAATAGGTGGAGGAAGGAATAAAAGGCACATTTGCAGCCTTGAGTTATTTGTAAAAATAATAAAAGCAGGATAAAATATCTTTAAAAATTTTCCTCAGTAGAGAGACTAAGTCCTGCCAAGGTACTTTGAAGCAGGCTTGGTAAAGCAGTGCTGTATTTAGGTGCTCATCATCCCAATTGCAGTAACTTTTCTGTTACATGAGCCAAATTTGATCAACCTGGTGAGTATGGTCAGTGACTCCATCTTTTTAAAAAGAGGGCTTGAAGTGCAACCTCAGGTAAATGCTTTATGAAAGTGAAGGCTCTTGCTGATACCGTATTTTTTGGACTATAAGACGCACCGGTGTATAAAACGCACCAAGATTTTGAAGAAGTAAGGAAAACGTTTTTGTCCTCTCTGGCCCCCAGGAGCACACTGCAGGCTTCAGCAGGGCTGGGGGTGGCAAAAACGCCATTTTTGTGAAAAATGGGTGGAAAATGGGCCATTTTTCACAAAAACGGGGACATTTTTGCCTTGCCCCAGGCCTGCTGAAGCATGCAGAATGCTTCTGGGGGCTGGGGGAAGACAAAAATGCCTCCATTTTGGCAAAAAACAGCCTATTTTTCACAAAAATGGGATGCAGGGCTGGGGCTTTCGGAGGCCAAAAATGGCTGTATTCGGTGTATAAAACGCACCAACATTTCCACGTTCTTTTAGGGGGGGAAAGGTCCGTCTTATACTCCGAAAAATATGGTAATCATTAGAGTGTGAATTCTGAGTTAGGACAAACTACATAGGAAGAAATAAATGCTGTAATAAAAGTTGACTAAGTATATAAGATGCTCAAAGTACGAATTCAAAAGAATACGAACTGGAACTCAGTGCCAAGTTATACTGGTCACAAATAACAGTCCAATGAATTGTAGCTATTCCATCATTTTCCAGTTATATGATGAAGTTATTGGGGCATCTATTTAACTTTGGTCTTACACAGATGATTCCTTTACTAACCCTGATTTTATTCCACAGACAGTTTTTTTCCAGCCCAAAGCCTGAATGGCCTTTATCAAGTGAAAAATGAAAACAGTTGAGGGACCCAAAAGCTATTAACTCTAGTGACATTCTGTTGCTATGCTTTCCATTAGCCAATTTGACCATTTCACTAGTGAACTGTGCATGGAGTTCCCATCAGAAACAAAGGTTGCCATGGCTTCACCAACACTGAACAGCACATCCTTACATGTGATGTTTTTTTATAAAAGTAAAATGTTCCTCTATATCATTGAAGCAATAGTGGGATTCAAATTTGCTTGATGGGCGTGGCAGGTGAAGGATACTATAAAATCTCCATTCCCTCCCCACTCCAGGGGAAGGTTACTGCAAAATCCCCATTTCCTCCCGATCAGCTGGGACTCGGGAAGCAGAGAATAGATGGGGGGGGGGCAGTCAGAGGTGGTATTTACTGGTTCTCCGAACTACTCAAAATTTCTGCTACTGGTTCTCCAGAACTGGTCAGAACCTGCTGAATATCAGCTCTGCACTGAACCCAAGGAATACTCTTGAACCCCACCCCAAAACAAAAACTCCCAAAAGCTAACACTGCTCCATTGACCCTAGAATATCATCCCAGAAACCATGTTTGATGTTTAGTTCCTTTAAATCTATGCCCTTTCTCTCCTTAATAAAGGAGTGCATCTCTTTGCTTTCAAGATGTAATTTGCCTTCATGTGGAAAATCAGCCCTACAGCAAAAATATTCCCCCAAGTATCTTACATAACTCCTACAATATCAGCAAACAATATGTTTACTTGAATATGGTAGCTGGAGGTACCTGAATGTTCTCTCGTTACATAATGCTCATGTAAATAAATGAACTGCTCAGGCTGCTAAATAGGTTGGGTGATCTCCTATTCCTAGCTACCATTACATCTAAAATATTTTTCTAAACCGAGAGAGCATGTACTTAAACAGCATTTTAAATTATTTATTTGCCCAGTTACTTCATAAAGACATTAAAAACATCAATAATTCAGGCTAGATCTATTTAAAAAAAGTTTAAAACTGCAAATTTTTATTTGCTCCATAATTGGTAGGGCTAAAATACCGGTAGATGGACATACTTCCAATGTTCCTATATCCCTAAATTAGTGAATATTTTGTATTCCTTCAAGAAGCAACTTACTTAGCTGATAGGAACTTCCCAGTGTCGCTCTGCTAGTGGTACATTCAGTAAAACTTACTATTCTTCCTACACGGAAGAATAGGAAATACTCTGATGGGTTAAGTTAGGTTAAGAAACACTGCTTGCTTGAAATGAGCTACTAAAGGGGCTTTTTACCCAGTATTGCTTCCTCATTTTACTCCACTATGGAAATTTCTTAATTTAATTATTTACCTTTTTACTATGGTGTGGTATGATTTATCTTTTCTATGTGAAACACCAAAATATACAGAGTTATCCTTGAAACCTGGTCCTCCATCTTTATATCAGACATTTTCTACCTTTGGATTAATATTTTAAAAAGTTTAACAGAGGAAAAGCTTCTTGGAAGTTTTCTTCCAGTTTTTTTTTCTGTTGTAATTCCCTAGGCTCCTCTTTTGTTTTACAATTGACTAGGGAAAAACATTGTTTTTAAAATGCTAGCAGTGTATAGTACTGCTTGGTTATATGCTTATTT